TCTATCTGATCAAAGGTATCACGGGATGGAAGTTTTATCTAGTGGACAGTATTCCTCTCTCTCTTTTTTTTTTTTTTTGAGAGAGAGGGTCTTGCCATATAGCCCAGACTAGTCTTGAACTTGACCCCTCTTCGTCAGCCTCCTGAGTGGGGGAATTATAGGTCTGTAGCATCACACCCAGTTCAGCAAGCACTCTAATCCACCCTTTATTATTCTTGGGACATTTACATAGTAACAAAAAGAATCTTTAAATGAGTTAGGAGTAGTGCTACTGAATGCTTGCAGTCTGGATAAAAACATCCCGAACACTTCTTTCTCCCCTTTTCTTAGGTAGGAGTCTGGAGACAAGAGACTGCAAGAACAAAATTAATTTTATTTTGAAACCATATTTCATTGTATTACTTTCATGCTTTGCTTTTTACTATAGCACTAGGTGACTGAACCTATTTCTACAGCAGAGGGTAGTTTGGCCCCAAATGTTTAATTTAGTTTTAGTTTTTTTTTTTAGAAAAAAACAAAAACTAGGAAGAATTCTTTCCAAGTGTCTTTAGAAATGAACCCTTTATAAAACTGGTTGGATGAATATAACTGATTAGCTATCATTTAAAGAATTACATTTGATTTTATAAGACATCGCAACAATGTTTTTAAAAAACTCATACAGATGAAACTCCTCAACAATTAAGTATTTAATCAGTTTATAACACAAGAGAATGCTTAATCTGCATGATTTGCCAATTAGACACTGCACCCTGGTGTGCCTTCAGCAACATGAAAACTAAAACGAGATTGTTTTAAGGGGATTCCAGTTGGGCAAGCCCACTAAATGTACAAAGTTTAGAGAACTGCATAGTGTTGTGGTCCTGGAAAATAAGATGTGCTTTGGTGAGTCTTCTGTCTCAAGTCTGGGTTGGATTTTAGGAAATGGTTGCAGACAGTACCCTAGTGGATTCTGTTTGGGGATGTCAGTTTTGACTTCGGACCTGTCACTTTTCTGCTGAGAGAGCTGATACACTCCAGAAATGTCCCCAGGCTCTCTCAGGACACCAAGACACACCCTGAAGCTCGGGAAAGTAAGTAGACAGTCTATGTAAGAGGAACCATAGGTAACATTAAAATGGAATTGTGGGTCTGCAGAGGTGTGTGTGTGTCTGTGTGTGTGTGTGAGAAAGAGAGAGAGAGAGTGTGTGTGTGTGCTCACGAATGCGTCATAGACAACACATGGAGGTCAAGTACAGTTTGTGGAAGTCCATTCTCTCCATCGGTAGCTCCCAGGAACTGAATTCTGGTGGTTGTGCTTGGAGGCAAGCACCTTCATCTACTGAGCCCCCTTACTGGCCCACAGCTATTCTTTAATATAGACTTTCTTTTCTACTGACCAATTGTGCTTGCTTTTGCTTTTTAGCTAGGACACTTTTATTTCGTCTGATTAAAACAAAAGAATGAAAATTGTGCACGACTCCTGAAGCAACCAACCCAGTGATTTCTACCACCATTGCTAAATTAAAAACATAAATGATCATGGAACTACAAAGTCTGTGTTTCAGAAAAGGATTTGAAATTCCAGATGAAGACTTTCAGTCCACACTAACTAAACTAAATATTATACAGATGTTTGCCAATCATCCACACAATTAACAGCAGGATTAACAGGAATTCAGATATCTGGAATCCCACTAGAGTTTTCTTCACAGAATGTGACTTTATTATTTCAAATGTCATAAGTATGAGGTATGGTTGAAACGTGGCATTTCATGGAAGGATTTTGAAAAGAGATACAGGTTCAGAGTTTGAGGACACCAAACAAGTCCTTTAATTTCTCTGAATAGAAGATCCTTCAATTACAAAATAAAGACGTAATAGGATGATGGCCTATCACCACAAGGTTGGAAGCTCTGGGTGAGAGGAATAAAAAAATTGTAACACTATTTGGAATATGTGAAGAGATGAGGGATGTGTGTGTGTGTGTGTGTGTGTGTGTGTGTGTGTGTGTGTGCTGTCTGTATGTATGTATGTGTGTCTGTCTGTCTGGTGAGCATGTGGAAAGAGGACAGCTTGCTGAGGTCAGTTCTGACTTTCCATAAAGTGGGTTCCACAGACTGACCAATGAAGCCATCTTGCCAGTCCCTACCTTATTTTTTGAGACAGTTTATCATTGAGCCTCAAGTTCACTGATTTCACTAGATGGTTAGCTGGCTGCCCAGCAAGCCCCAGAGACTGTCCTATCCCTACGTCTACAGTGCTGGGATCAAAGGTGATCAGCATTGTGCTGGGATTTGGACTCAGGTACTTATGTTTGCCAAGCACTTTACCAACTTAACTGCTTCCCCAGCTCCTGAGCAGAGATGTGTCTTGAACTAAGCTTTGTTAGCAGCACAGTCCGGCCATTTATTTATTCTTTATAGAAGCTGTTTCTGTCCTAAAGACAAAGTGTTCTATAAGTTTAAACACTTACAGGATAAAATGGTTTTTGACCTTTAGAGGGTACTAAGGATTTTGAAACTTCAATATTTAACATAAAAATCTTAATTGACAATATGTATGTCTTTAGGGATAATACAGATTTAAACCATTTCCATTTTTCATGTGTTGAGGTCAAGAAACAAAATCACTTCTCTATGGACGTTGGAACAAGAATGGCATTGCAGGATAGACAGGCCATAAGTTTCATTTAACGTGTTATGTGTCCACATAGGAATAGCTGGGAATGCTACTGTTCTCATTCCTAAATGTCCCAAAACAACAGGCACAAATCTATGGCAATGGTCATCCTTGTGCCTTAGTCAATGGTACCATTATTTAAATTGAGCTCAGTGGTATTTCACCATAAAATTAGGAGCAATAAAGATGCTTAACTGATGAAAAAGTATTAGAGGCCAATGATATCTTAAGAAGTATGGTAAGTTTCACAGATACTTTGATAGCCCTTCTCATGGTAAAGGTATAATACATGGGTTATTTTGTAGACACTTTAAAATGAATGTGTGCCTTGCAGACTAACAGTTTTTACATAAGATAGTGTTGGCATATTTCTAAACTAAGTGAATTTCATCTGGGTAAAAGGCATGTTATTCTTTAAAAGTTAATCTCTTATACAGTATGATCAGAAATGGAGCCCCTGGCATTTTACCAAATTGGATAAAAACAACTGCAAGTTAACATATCATAGTGTGTGTGTGTGTGTGTGTGTGTGTGTGTGTGTATGTGTTGATCTGCATCTGAACTGAGGAGGCTCCATTTACTTACTTGTATAGGAAGTAATCTAATTGGAAGAGTGAAAGTTTGCCACTATGCCTGAGTACTATTGTTCTCTTCAATCTTTCATCTGTAATAGGCTATGGTTGCTAACAGTGCATTTAGGGTCATTATTTTCAACTGTTTCTTGACACCTAACAATATTATTTTAAGCTCCAGCCAAGTAGATTTCCAATAATTATATAATGTCTCTCAGTAATGATCTGTTGCTTAAGCTACACATTCTACTTTACCTTTCAACACATACTTGATAACCTCTCATTTACTAACTGTAATTGAGGCAAATTCAGCCTTGGCTAATTAGGGGCTCCTAGTACCCCCTCATATATGCTGTTCTTGGTGACATACCAATAGAGTCAGGGTTCATTTTCATTTTTAATTAAAGTAATAAATATGTGCAACTTAAAAAAATAGAATGTTTGAGGACATTACAATTATTTTACGAATAACAAGACCAAAGCTCTACTGGGGATATACAAAAATGTGAAAAACTTCTCGAGTAAAACACAATGCTTTGGAAGCAAACCTACAACCAAGCCAGATGCTTAGGTGTTGGAAGAAAGGAATGCCTAACAGGACAATTAAATGAGTGTACTGTGTGAATACTGGCCTCCTTAGGTCTGCTTTAGCTCACTCTAATAATTACTACAGTCTTCTAAAGTTCAGCAAATGAAGACGAGTTAAAGTGGAGAATGTCTTTGAGGTGAAAAAAATTCTACCTTTGCTTACTAACTGGCATAATAATGGTTAAGCTTTGGAACAAGTAGGTCACCAAGATAAAACCCCTGAAGATCCTCAGAAAACAGCCCTCCCTTTCAACAATGACTATCTAGAGGGAACTATTTGCAGGAAGCCTATACCTTATTTTCTCCATCCAATATGTATGTGCTCTAGCTAGGAAGAAATACAACAGAAATAACATCAACTCACCGTTCTTTTTCTGCTCAGCATTTCTGAAAATCACCACATAAGCAAAAAAGTAAAAGATAAGTTGGAAATGAAACATATGCCCGTCAATTCAGAGCAATTCCAAATGGAAGCAGAAGTTGCTAATATGGTTTCAGTATTTTGTAAAAGAGCCAGCTGGATAGATGATAATTTTTCTACCCCTGCAGGGCATCAAAGCTTTTAGGAAATCATTCTTTTCACGCATATTAACACGTAGCTTATTAAAACAGATGATACTTTTATTGTAAAATGGCATGGAAACATAAAGTCAGAAAGATAAGGTTCCCTTTGACCACCCAGTTGCACAGACAGCACACACTGACATGTCAGACCATGGTGGAGATGATGACGTAGAGGGACCTTCAGCAACAGCCACAGCTGAAGTGTCACCATGAAGCCCGTGAATTGCTGTTATGAAAACATTTGCAGTAACGTGCATAATTAAATGAAACCGCCAGAAAAGCATTTCTAAAATGCAGAGAAGATGCATGTAAATGCACTTCGAAGAAAATACCTAGATTCAGAATCATCACTGGGGCAAGTTGTGCAGTTACATCATGAGCATGATACCATTTTCTTTGAACTGAGTAGTCATAGTTCCAAATGACTGACAACACTCTTATTTAAGTTGTGTGCTTTCTTAGTTACGGTTATAGAAACTTGATCAGGTATCTAATTGTTATGCTTAAATGAAGACCTTAGTATTCACAAAAATCATCACATATTTTTTCATGCACATCAACATTTTAAATCAAGATAAAAATGCTCAATATCCTGTGGCTATGGGAACTACTTACATCAAACAACTTTTCTATATACATTTCTTCATTGACTTTTTCGCGAAGAATATCCTGGTTTTGCCGAACGAACATAATGTAGGTGTCTGCCAGGTCCATTCCTGGTTTCTGTTGTATGGGAAAAGCATAGGGAATAAAAAAAAAGTAAGTTCTCATTTCTGAAGCTTTAATTTGATAGTATTTTGGAAAAATCTTTAATAGCCACTGAAATTGTTCACCTCTGTGAAGTATGTTTATACCAAATCAACAATGACCAGCATGTAAACATCTATCATGGCTCTTTACAACTTAAAGTCACATCCATTATTGCTAAGATGGTTAGGGATACATGATTGTAAGTTTATGCATGTCTTTAAAAAGATTTATATTATTTTTAATTATTAATATGTGTGTATCTGAATGTGGGTATGTATATGTACTCATGAACATACACAGCACCAGAAATATTCTGCTCCTGGAGATTACAAGCAATTGTGAGCTGCCCAAGGTGGGTGATGACAACCAAATTCAGGCCCTTTGAAAGGTAGCATGCAACTCTTAACTGCTGAGCCATCTCTTCTGCCTCCCATACATGTCTCTCTCTCTCTCTCTCTCTTTTTTTTTTACAAAATGAGTATCTTGAAAAGTCAATGTGACAAGTATAAAAGAGGAGATTAAAAGAAAATTTCTCAATGGAAATATTATGTCCTAATTGTAAGTGTTATACAACTGACTTCTCATCACCTGCTATTTGCTCATTAATGGTATGAAAACCATCAGCTGTCTTTGATTTGCCTCTTTTAGAGTACTGTGAGTATTCAAGGAATACAAAACCAGTGTTCTTATTAAGGTCAGTAAAATACTAGGAAACTTGGGAAAACACTTAATACAAAGTAAAACCGATTTTTTAAATTGTCTATTGCCTCTACTCCCCATTTACCAATACTATCTTATGTATTTATTATGTGATAGAAGTGCAGTGAGAACAATAATAAACTCATTTCTTATGTAGGGCCGAAGAGGTGAACCAGCTAACTTGCTAAATTATCACCTAACATTTGGCATTTTCTCCTGGTAGAGGAGGCAGGGTAGTTAGTCTCATTCCTTTGCGGTCTGAGAACACAGTGCTAAAACAATGGCGTAGGCAGCAAGAGTCATTCAGTAAACACGGCATCCTCTGGCACTTTTGACTTAGAGCAGTGGTTCTCAATCTTCCTAATGGCATGACTCTTTAATACAGTTCCTCATGTTGTAGTGACCCCAGTCATACATTATTGCATTGCTACTTCATAGCTAGAATTTTGCTACTGTTGTAAATCTTAACGTAAATATCTCTGACAAGTGACTCCATGGGAGTTATGACTCATAAGTTGAAAACCACTGCTGCAGACTGTAAAAAAAAAAAAAAAGAAGAAGAAAAATCAGTATGAGGGTCAAAAGCCTTCATGGTTTCCAAAGAAATTTCCTTCTTAACTTATCATCAGCTCTTTCTCAAGTTTCATATACTAGGCTGACTGATGGAAAAAATTATTTACATTACAGACATCTGGGGTTGACTCATAACCTGTATGGAGTTATTTGATTAGAGTATAACATTAGTAAGAACTTAACATTAGAACTGATAGCCAAGTAAGATATTTAAGCTTACACCATCACATGTACATAGTAAGTGCTTGCAGCCTTTACTAATAGACTGATTTATAAAAGTGAGTACTGAAAGCAAACCAGATCAAACAGAACATGAGCTATTTAACTATTTACTACTTCTGCAAAAGTATCACAAGGCAGAGATCTGACTGACAGCAACATGGTGGAGCATCTTCTTGTGAGGGACAGGAAGTCTTTGCCACTTTATGCTCTTTTTCAGGAGGGTGGATTGGTATTTTATTTGCCATAATGAGTGCCTATTTCCAAACCATTGCATTTTAGGTACCAGGGAATTTTATTTCAGTGATAAATATCAGGCTTTTGGTTACTTATTTTTCTGTGTAGTAAAAACAAAAACAAAACTGCATTTTTTTTGGAGATAGGGTATCCTGTGGTCTAGGTAGCCTTGAACTTACAATGTAGATGAGGATGACTTTTGACTCTGATCATCTTTGCCTCCATTTTCTAAATGCTTGGATTACCAATTTATAAGGTGCTGGCAACAGAATATATGGTTTTGCGCATGCCAGGCAAATATCTATTAACTGGGACATACCTCCAGCTGTGATAAATTTACCTTAAAGTATAGACAACAAAAACTCAGGATTTTTTTTTTGAGGCAGGTTTTTGCTACGTAGCCTTGACTGTTATGGAACTCGCTTTGTAGACCAAACTGGCCTTGACTTACAGAGATCCACTTGCCTCCCAGGTGCTAGGATTAAAGGTGTGTGCCGCCACTGCTAGGCTAACCTCAGGATAACCTAACCTGATATAAGTAAATTATATCATAACCCTGATATAAGTAAATTTTGTTAAAATATACAATAACTATTTATACAAATGTTCTCACAAGTGTCTCCTTTAAGAGCATCCACATGTAATATAGGCAATACATTGCGAATGTAGTAGAGGCAATCGAACAAATCCATTCCTTGTTTTTCTGCATACTCCTCATAACCAGTGTTTGGAAGTTTTAAGTAACCAAAAAGTCAATGAACGAAATCAAAGTTGCTTTTATTTTGGGGGAACTGAAGTTTATACATTAGTTTTTCAAGTGTCATTTGTACAAAGATCATTAGTCCTGATTCTACAGAGATCAATAACCCAAATGGAAAGTAGTTTTTCTCTGTGCCTCTCAAACTTTGTCAAAACACTGAAAATGAGAACATTCAGAAAGCATGATGCCCTGGAATGAAAACTACAAGAGGCCAACTTTTTTTTTTTACTCACTACAGAGGTAGCGGCACAGCATCTGAGTTTCACACAGGTGTCTACAAGAAGCGATGACACCCATGATAGCAAGGTATCGGGCACAGTCCGGCTACTCTGGAGCTGAAAGGGAGGCTTGTCTTCCCATCATTTCTCCCTACCCAAGCCTTTTAAATTTCACTTTACATTTTATTTCTCAAAAGAAATCTATGCTTAGGACTTTAATCCAATCAATCACTTCCCCTACAGAGTCAGTGGAAAGCAAGTCATTGTCAGGACCAGTGGAGAGCAGTGGCTTGTCTGTTTCCTTTCATAGACACTCCTGCATTCTTCATTACTTCCACGCTAACAACTGACTTCATAAAACATTGTCCAGGAATTGTTTTTTCTTTTACCATTTAAGCCAACAAACACTCTGCCGCTTTAACATAAAAGAAACCTAAATTCTGGTTCCCCTGGCAGACTCCAGCAATGTAATGCTCAAAGCTGAGCGCTGAAGAGAGTCCCACAACTTTGTAAGTGTGTTGGGTAAAGTTTGTTGGAGTCTGCAATTTCCAAATCGCGTTTTCCTCTCTTTTGGCAAATTCTGATGTTCTTGCTTGGAAACTAAAGCCTAGACCTCTCAACATTTCTCATTAGCATTATTCCTTCCTTTATCTTGGCGCTGTTTACCTATTCTTGAAACTGTGACATATGGGAATTTCACACCTACTGAATATATTTTCATGCAGTTTGTGGCATGAAGCTATAATCATTAAAAGAATATACACAAGTAAGCATAACTGCAATACCTAGTGACATGTTCCAATTAGAGTTATAGTTCTTTAAGACACTTTATCCTTCATTTGGTGTACGAAAGGGTAATTATCTCTGATAAATTGCTGAAAAAAAGATGCAATTTTCCTTTTAAACAGTTTCTACCTTCAGCACAAATGTGTTTGGATAGAAGACATTACCACTGGCTCAGTGCTCTTTTGTGCCAAGGCTCTTGTTATGTGGCAGTGGAATTTACACACTTGAAAAGTCACTGCTTCTAGTTGTAGTATTAACTGTTACCTTATTAGTTGGTGCTTTAGTAACCCTGCAAGCTAAGCACTGTGATGCTAACTTTCTGTGTATGCCTTCGAGAGTAGATGAAGCGAGTGTTTGGAACTGCACCGTGCAGTCCAAACTCCCGTAAAAGCAGGTATGTCTTCCAATTCTACCAGAAGAGCACCTTGTGAAGCTTCAATAATGATGGGTTTCCATGCCTTTTTGTCAAGAATACTGTATCCAACGGAGCCATGTTTAGAGATCTTTTCTGTATTGGTAATTAAATTATAGCCTTCTTAATGAATATGAGAAAATAACTATTAAAAACCACATGGTGAGCACTCTATTAAATACAATCTAGGAATAGATTTTTTTTTCCAAATTTTCAATTTAAGTCTCTGAAACTCTCAGTTCACTACATAAACTTTTCCAGTTTGCTTATTAGGCTAGTTGTCTCCAAATATAAAGGATTCCTAAATTACTTTTTTTTTTCCTTTTTTGAGACAGGGTTTCTCTGTACTGTTTTGGAGGCTATCCTGGAACTCGCTCTGTAGACCAGGCTGGCCTCAAATTATCCGCCTGCCTCTGCCTCCCAAGTGCTGGGATTAAAGGCGTGAGCAACCAACGCCCAGCTTCCTAAACTCCTTTTAACCTTCTGACTAGGAAAGGCAAATTTTGGCCATCAAAGTAAAGAGACATAAAATACAAAAAAAAATTCCCTCCCAATGAGCATAAAGAAACCAGTAGCCATGCAAGGAAAACGAAATATTTTAAGGTGAGTTTTTCTGACAATGGTTGCGTAAGTAACTGAATACATCAGGGAGTGAATGAGTAAGAGTGCAGACTCCGGCATGTTTTTTTTTTCAAGCATTAATTACTAGTTAACCCAGCAAGATGAACATACCACTTAAAAAGAGAGAAAAAAATTCCTTGCTAATTATATGCTGCAAACGCTCTTACTTCCTGCTGCTCTACCTAATCACACAGGTGTGAGTTTTCACTTCCCCATTCATGGGTAGGTGGGTATGACATCGCAGTCATTTTTCACAGTGACAGATTTAGATACAGAAGAAGCTGCTTAACCTTCCACTGGAGGTTAACAATACACTACACAAACACTGTCATGGTGTCTGTTTAACAAGGAGACACATTTTTAAATATACCATTCCTGTCTCAAAGATTAACTAGAAGCTACAGTGTAATTGACTTAATTTAAAAGTGCATTTCTTAGATCCTAAGGA